TTTTAAGACTTCCTTCGAAACTCCGAATTTACACTTTTCACACCGATTTTACTAGTTTTATTCCTTTGAGCCTGAAAACAAAAAAAATACACAACCAACACATAAAACATAGAAGCATGAAATAAAACACTTGACAAAATAAAGAAACTATAACTAAAATCAACTGTAAATAAAGGTGGAAAAACCACTGATCAAACTCCCCCAAACTTAAAATGTTGCTTGACCTCAAGTGACCATTACAAGAATTCATGAAAATCACCGCAACCCAGTACTCATACGTGAGACATCCATTCAAATTGATCAAAAAACAACTCGTCCAATGTTCACATGACACAAGATTTTGTGTAAGCACCTTTAAATCTCGAGCTTCCTCTTCAGATACCTCTCTAACTATGCTTTGTACTTAAGTCTTTTTCTAATTTTCCTCTTTTTTCATTCGGACAGTCAAATTAAGGCAATGAGAATTTTTGATGATCATCACATGCACAAGTCTAATCAAGAAGTTTTTGTTCTGGCACCAAATAAGAGCTTTTGCTTTAATTTCAGATGAAATTTTCAAAACATTTATGTTTATATATTGTTCTTTATGGACGACGTTTGGGGATCAACCCCCTTTGGGCTGAATAACCTGGTGAGAGCTACCCAACTTAGCGAGCCGGTTTCCTTTTTCCGCCTTTTCATTATTTAGTGCCAACTTTATTTATTTCTCAACCAATCATACTTGTATGTGAATCTATATTATGCCAGACCGTAAAGATAAACTACTCAAGGGGTACTTCTCAGGATCCAAACACTATGATACAAATCTACATGTTAGACTCGTACCACTGTCACATTATTCAGAACTTCCTACCCTTGAACAACCATCAATTTGTCTCTATATACTATTCTCGGTCTCTATGAAATACAAACTCTTGAGAAAAACAACAAAAAAAATTCGGTCCAAATTTAGGAAGGACTTCAACTCGTGGATTTACATTGCAATTAGCAAAGAACCAACAAAATAACTCGAAAAGAAAAGCAGTAACCCCCCCCCCCCCCCCCCCCCCCCCAAACTTGAACTAAACATTAACCCCAATGTTTCAGAACAAGCTCAATAAGGTGACTCACAGAGGGTAATGCAACACCATCTGCTGCTTCCTAGATTTCACCAGTAAGGCTCCCTTTTTATTACCTGCAAACAAAATAAAACAAACGCAAAAATAAAAACTAAGTTATTAAAAATGTGGGTTTCCTCCCACGAAGCACTTTGTTTAACGTTGCATGGATCGAAAATTCATCCCCTTATGGGAGGTACTTCCTCTTTCACATCTTATTGCGTGTCCTTTCGGCAACCCAGAACTCATTTAAATCAAAAGTACCAACTCCTTTTTTGTTTCAGCCACTTCCAACTTCCATCTTCTCAGGTTGGTGTTCCTTCTTCTTTCTTTTCTTGCCTTCTTGACTGAGCTGAAGAATTTTTATTGATACCACCTGATATTTTTTTTTGTGAGACTTCTTCTGGAAGTGATTTTGAACTATTGCTTTCTCCTTCTACTTTGATCATTCCGACTGAAGATTTATTCTTTCCACCTGCACCTTGCTTCTTGATTTCTAACACCTTCAAGGTTATCTCCTCATCAAATGATTTCAGTGTCAAATTACCTATCTCGATATCAAAATTACATCGAATAGTAAGCAGAAATGGTCGACCAAGAATGATAGGAGTCTCTTCATCTTCAAGAATGTCCATGATCTGGAAATATACTGGAAAAACAAAATTGTCAATTTCCACCAATACATCTTAAGCTATCTCGTATGATTTCTTGATGGTACGATCAGGAAATTTTAATTTTGTCCCATTCTCGCTTATCTTCTCAATACCCAACTTTTTGAAAATAGACAATGGCATTAAACTCATAGTAGAACCAGAATCAGTTAGAACCCTCTTGAATTTTCTGTATTTTATTGTGCACGGTATTGCAACCGACCCTGAATCCTTCTGCTTGATAGGAATTTTTTCTCGGGTGTGATTGCACATAATTTCTCATCAACGGGTGCCTATTCATCTTCTGTTGGTCTCTTTTTTTGGGTACCTCTTTCATGAGTTTATGGTACAAGGACATTTTCTCGACTTCTTTAAAGAACTGTATGTTGATCTTTAGCTTTTTAAATAATTTGACAAATTTATCAAACTCTTTCTCTTTCGTATCCTTCTTTGCCACTCGAGATGGATACAACAACTTGATTGCTGGTTTAATTTTCTCTTCAATTGTCTTCACAGGTGATACCACTTCTTCCTATTTTTTCTTGTTCTCTCTCACTTCCAGATCTACTTCTATGATACTATCATCAAATTTTACCTCATCTTTCTTTTCTTCAACAACTTTCTCAATCCTTGTTGGGACAACATTAACATTCTCATTATTTTTCTGATTTTCTTATGCTCACAGCGCTACCTGTTGTGAAATCTGTCCTATTTGAACTTCCAAATTTTTGATTGCAGCTGTGGTGTTCCTGTGATTACTCCTTGTGTCTTCTTGAAATTAAGAGGTGTGTGCAGCCATATTTTCAATAGCCACCTCCCACTCTGCCTTCTGAGGAGCTTGTTGTTGCTGATCTTTCCAAGAGAAGTTAGGATGATTCTTCCATACGGGATTATAGGTGTTAGAATAAGGGTTATTTTGCTTCAAGAGTTTTATCCCCTCAATGTGTTGTGGAGTTGCAAGACATTGCACAATAGTGTGTGGTCCATTACAAAATTCATAAATAACCTTTTGTACCTGTTGAACCTGAGCTACCTATTGAGTACCCATGTTTATTTCTTTCAACTTTTTCTTTACTTCTACAGCAATTGCTTCCTCAATTTCCAGTTGCTTATTAATTTCTAACTTCAGATCAATCATGCCCTCTGGTTTACTCATAACCTGTCATATAGCTCCAGATGCTCATTTCCAGCAATGGCTTCAATAATCTTTTTTACACCAGTGGTTGTTGTAAAGTTGGATGAGCCACTGGATGTTGTATTGATAAGCTGCTTTGTCTTCATTCGAAGGCCGTTCACAAACATATGCATTTGCTTAGTTTGACCTATGTTTTGAGTGGGACAGGCTACTAATAACCTCTTATAAGCATCACCTAGTGACTCTCCTTCCTTCTACTTAAAATTCACAATATCATATCTTTTGCGAATATAAAGAAAAGCAGGAAGTACTCATCAAGAAAAGTCTTCTCCATCTATTCCCAAGTAGTAATACTCCCAATAGGTAATGAGTAAAACCACTCTTCAACATCTTCAGAAAGCGTGAACAAGATCATCCTTAATTTCTTGGCTTCTTCATAATACCCCTTAATTTTCAAAGTAGTACTCATGGCGAGGAATCTCTGTAAATGCTTATTGGCATCTTCATTGATCTTTCCGGTGAAAGATCTATTCTCGAGCTGGCGGATGGTTGAAGGATACAGTTGAAACTTTGCAACAGTGATCGGTTGATTCACGATAGTCAACCGACCTGTTGGAGCATTTGCTCCTCCATAGTCCCCAAGAAGTCTCTCAGGTGGTGGTGGGTCTTCAACCATTGGTTTCTCCTTTTCAGACTCAGAACCTGAATGATCTGATGAACCTTCTGATTTCTATGTCAAAAAGAAATTTATCAGAGGGCTTTCCTCACATGAAAAGGTTAGGAAAAACCAGTAATAACAAAAATATAAAAATTACAGAAAAGAAATTTTAGTTGTAGAGCAACAAAATTCTAATTGAACTCAAATTACACTCAATAACTAGGTAGTCCCCGACAACAGCGCCAAAAACTTGATCAGTCAAATAGCAAGTGTACTATTTTTGCCTCTTGTAATAATAGGGAGATTCCCCAAATGTCGATCTCAAGGACTGTGTGTAATTATCGATTTAAATTCGTAGTTCAATTAAACAAAACTTGATTTGTTGTTTTGGGTGTGAAATTTTCACTCAACAAATAACAAGAATATAAAGTGACTTTTCACTGATATGAGGAGCATGTTAGGGTTAGGTGTATAATTTTCCTTATAACATCCTTGAGTCCTGATTTCTTCTAAAAGTTCATAATATCAATTATCAGCCCTTTAGGTTATTTTTCCCTAAGTCCTTAGTGGGAAAACTTTTGAACATCCGTCCTAAATCCTAAGTCCTTAGACATATTTGATAGATTCAAGCCTTTGTTTTATCAAGGTTATTTGGTAATTATAGGGTATCCCTATTCCTAGGTGATATCTAATATAGTCTAATTGTACAAAAACCTTAATAATTATGGTCCAACTAATTGTTAACCGTAGAACAATCCTTATTTTTCCGATAAAGAAAGCATGAAAAACTTTGTACAATTAAATCGAATAATAAAAACCATGTAATTAATGAAATCAGAAATTCAAAGTTATTACATAATAAAATCAGGGACACCCCCTAGAATTAGGGGGTTTAGCTACTCATATTATTCAAAGTAATTTCAGAATAAAAATTAAACATTACACACATATGTTGAACTTTGATCTTCAATCGCTTCCGCTCATGAAAGGTCTCCGTTCTCCAACACTTGCGTAGGCTTCAATCTTCAGTTCTCAATTCTCCGTGTGGCAAAAAGTTTTTCTAATTTATCTTCAAAACTTGGCTAAATACTGAACAATCCATTTATCTCGGTCGGAAATGCCCAAAACACCCCTCTGGGTCCCAAAATAGTGAAAAATCTTGAAAGCACTCAAAATCCGCGTCAATGGCCAATACAGTCCATGTCAGCTGACACGGCTGCCAATGTTGGCTTTCTGATAAGTTATTTTCTAAATTTTGGTTCAGGAACTCTGAAACGGGCCGTGTCAGGTGACATGGGTACCCATGTCATCCCCCTAATTTTCCTCTTTAGCAATAGCGTTCATCCTGACACAACCCGTGTCAGGTGACATGGGTGGCTGTATCAAGAACTATGTATCTTGGTTTTTAAGACTTTCTCTGAAACTCTGAATTTGCACTTTTTGCACCGATTTTCCTGGTTTTATTCCTCTGAGCCTGAAAACAACAAAATACATAACCAACACATAAAACATAGAAGAATGAAATAAAAAACTTGACAAAATAAAGAAACTATAACTAAAATCAAATGTAAATAAAGGTAGAAAAACCACTGATCAAAACCCCCTTGATTCTCAACCTAATCTTAGGTTACAACCAACCTAAATTGAATGTTATCAACCGAGTCTAGATGGCACCCAAACAATGAATGATTATGTGTACATTGTTTGTGTGTATGCATAAGGTCAAGGTTGAAGATGAATAGTAATCAAGTAAGTGTTTACAGTTTCATAAAAAAGAAAATGATGCATGTATGATATATATATATATATATATATATATATATATATATATATATATATATATATATATATATATATATATATATATATATATATATATATATATATATATATATATATATATATATATATAGGTGTGAGACTTGGAGGCAAGAAAGACCTAGAAACACAAAAGAAAACTGATTTTTGAAGTTTGGTACAAGATGTGTCGACACGTATAAGTGATGTATTAATACATACATGACAAAAATAGGCACATGTCTCGACCTGTAGTAGGTCATAAGTCGACACAAACTTCTAGAGACTTTCAGCCTTTAAAACAATAACACATGAGTCGACTCGAAGCTCGTATGTGTCGATACATAGAGTAGTTTAAAGGCATGCGTTGACACAAACAAGATGATGAGTCAACACAAACTTACAAAGAGTTATTTACTTTAAAACATCAGCACATGTGTCGACACAAAGCACGAATGTGTCGATACATGCACATAAATTTGGTGCAAAAACTGATGTTTCCTTTATGAGACCAGTGGATAACCAAACTAAACTAGTTCTATATTCTTCTTAAGGTTTCATGTATTTAATGAAAGCTCCCCCTGGATATGCGCATTCATCTTCTTTCCTTATACTTATCCCCCCTTTGACAACATAAAAAAGAGAACAAGCACACAATGAGAAGTATTAAAATTCACACAAATACAAATATATCACACATAGGCGTTTTCAAAAAGTAAGAGCACAAACATACATGTTCCCATGCACACGATGTTACGCAATACTAATAAACAAATAACAAGCCAGATGAAACAAAACAATATGATAACTGTAATAACCGGCTGAAAATTATAGAGTCACCACCATTAATTTTTATCCTAAGAAGAGAATATAACGTAATAACCCTAACTGATGATACAAAGATTCTAAGTTTTTGACTCACTTTAGATAAATGGAAGGTGTTAGGAAACCTTCATCTACCTTGTACAAAAGGATACTAGGGTTTAGGTTTAAGGTTTAGGAATATGGTTTTAACTTTTTAGTTAGGGGACTCTCCAGGGTTTTTAATTCGTATGCCTACGTATCCTCTTATGAGGAATCAGAGTCCAAATTCGCATTCTTAGTGTTTGGTTGGTGTTTTTTATAGGATTGCGTAGAATTGCTTTCGAATTTATTCTTGAATCTTGTCTAGGTTTGAAAAGTGAGTGATCGTAGACGCAGTTCGCAGTTAATTTTGATAGCAATTTTGCTTAATCATTTTTCGAAAATAATCTTGTAGTTTTGTTATGTTAGTAGAAAATTAATTTTTGATTGATTAGCTGTTTTGAATTTTGATTTAATTAAAGAGTATGATAAGACATAAGGCGAGGAAAGTCTGATAAATTCTTCTCCTCACATGGCCAGATATTGGCCACGTGTTACTCATCATGAAGGATGCGGAATGAGTCTGATAAAGTCTCCCTCATCACGTGGCTAGATATTGGCCACGTGTTTCTCACACATGGAGTATCTGGTGAGTTGCGTGGATTTTAATATCTTTTTAAAATATTGAATTAATTTAATTACAAAGTATTTGATTAAGATTTTTATTATTTTTGAATTAAGTGAATCAAAAGCCTATTTTGTGTTTTTGACTACCAATAAACTAATGAGAGGAAAGAAACCCTCTTTAACCAAAATAAAATAATTTAAATACAACTAATTAGAAAATTATTTGGCCCAATTAACCTAATGAAGTCATAAATAAACCTAAAAACTAACTCAATTAGACTAAAGAAATAAACTAAATTAATTAGCCAAGATAAACAAGGTTAGGGGATGAATATAATTAAATTAGTAAAGAGGTGTAAAGGAAACTGGAGGTGTTGGTTAGAAATTAGTGAAACAAAAATAGCCCAAATTAAATAGAACCCTAAATATAAGTTACTAACAAATCAAAAATAGTAAAGAAAAATAATAAAATAAAAAAAACTACGCAGTAGCAGCAAAAACTGACCACATTCTTCTAATGTTAAAACGACTGACCAGTAGGACAGTGACACTTGTCATTTAATTTTATGAAAGAATAACAAAATAACAAAATATAATTGCCAAAGGACTCATAAGACTCAATCTCTCTCACTATCTCTTTCATTTTGTTTCTCTTACTCAACTTAGAAAAAAACACGAACATATGCAAATCCAAAATATCATGAAATCAAAGAAGATAAACAAATACTAACATGGTGGCGACGATGTAGGATCGATCTCGTCAGAAAGCGTATGAGCGGCGGATGCTTCGGTTGGTTGGGAGCTTCACGGCTATTGGAGTCTGTCAAGGAGGTTTACGGGTCGCTGTAGCCCGGAGATCTCGATGATGAGCCGCAATTTTTGTTGATGTATGGTGGTGAACGAGCGACTGAGGTTCGACCATTGGGGTGATGAATAGGTTCAATCTTCTTCCCCCTTCTGCTATTGAAAATCAGGCCCTTTTATAGTTGAGTTTTAGGTTTCGAGTCTTTAGTGAGATTGATTCAAATTGATTTCTGATCGTGATTCTGTCTTGTTTTGAGATTTTGATATCAAATGTGATGAGATTTGATTTGAAAACTTCATCTTGATTTGATATGTTTTGGGAAATATTGTATTGATTTGATCTAAATTTAAAGGTTGATTAATTTTATATTAGAATAAAGAGATTTGGTGTGAAACTGATCCGATTTACTCTGCTTTTAGAAAGATTTGGTTTTAGAATCCTTTGCAATCAATATTGTTCAATCTGCAGATGATGATGGATATCTAATTTTTCAACTTGTAGGTTAAGTTTCTTTGTTTTTTTGGGAAGATTAGATTCTATCTATACTTGAGTTTCAATAAAATATTTCTTTCAGATTTTTCCTTAAATAGGATAACTTTGTGAACAAACTTATGAATTTTTGGATTGTAACTGCAAATTTGGATTAATGAAAATCATATATGACTTTTATTGGTCCTTTCTAATATTCTACTCAAAAGGCTTAAAACTTCATTGAAATTTTTGAAACAACTAACAAATTAAATCTGTTAGCATCAGAGGTGCAAAAAGTATTACAGGAACCAAAAGTTGTTGCGGTACGAACAACACGCTAGGACTAGTAGAACTAAGTTATAATATAATAAGAATTCACTGATTTAATATAACAAAATGTGATTCTATCTTAAAAATGAAAAATGATAATCTAATTATAACCAAAATATTAACATTATAACATAATAATAACCATAGTAAAATAAAAATAGTACTTCTAAATGAAAAAAAAAATCTTAATGAGTATTTAAACTAATATAGAATTAAAAAATTTAAGCTAAAAATATAATGATTATAACAATTAAAATATTATTAATTTTACTTCTAAAATTCACAATAGTAAAAAATCTAAGCCTAAAGTAAAAATGAATAAAATTAAATAAAAGTTTAGAAAATGAAGAAAAATATCAAGGAGGAGAGAGGTGGGAATTGGACTTAGATATTCTCACCCTTTCACTCTTTATTCACTTTATATCCCCTAAAATAATGTATCAGTCAAGATAAAATAGCACTACAAAATACATTAAGGATAGGAAAAATTTGGAGTACGATAATAACAACACTATTCACTTTATATCCCCTAAAATAATGTATCAGTCAAGATAAAATAGCACTACAAAATACATTAAGGATAGGAAAAATTTGGAGTACGATAATAACAACACATTGATATTTATTGTCTGAGTTAAGGCAAGATAGATAAACAACAACATAAGTATTTAAAATACATATTATTTTAATACATAAACAAACATGAAACGAACTAAGTTGTCATATATGATATGCAAACAAAGAAAATGCATGAACATCAACTAGACAAACTCCAAGCTAAGTGATACACAAATCTTTCATCATTGGCGACCCATATAATTGTACCAGTGATATGGTCTTTCACCATTTTTCAATTTGGATACGCATGTCGTTATAGAATTGCATGCTTTCTTCATGATTAAAGGAGCCAAGTTTCATGACACTGCTTAATTTATTGTCCACAATTTTGAAAAAAGTGGACATGCTTTGTTGAATTAAAGACATTTGAGTCGTTGCAGATGACCCAAATAGATCAAAGTTAGCATCTTGTGATGCTAGATGCTCCTGAGTAGCTTGAACATTTGCTCTCCAAAAAACTTCTTCTTCATACCTTTTATCTTTCTTGGCATCCATATTTTGAATTTAATACCATGGTTTTAAGATTGGCAGAATTTGATAAAACATGCTTTGCAGTATGATGTTATAGAAGGTGTTCTAACATGTTGGTCAAGTTCATTTGAAGACAAATATTTCAACACATGTTGTAACCTGTTGTATCAGAACATCAGTACATGCTGTATTATTTTTCTAGACATATTTGAATTGATTATGTGAGATTCCTTTTGGTTTTATCTCACTGATTTTTCACTGGTCAAGAATATTCAATCTGGAACAATTGATTTATCTCCAGATGTACACAGGTTACCAAAATTGGGCTTTGAGACAATTTAGGAAACCTTGTGTTTTGTTCCAAGATTTAAGGAGATCTTTCTGCACAAATTGGTGCAGCTCTCAGTGTGTACAACAAGGAACATCTGGGTGCAAATTCAAGGCCCAAGAATTGCTAAAAAGTATTAAAATAGACTACCTAGACCTAAATTCATTAAGAACTTTATAAAAAATAAGGGTTACTTAATAGTTGACTGATTGTTACTTAATAGTTTATCAAGTTATTGTCTCACTCTTGAAGCTTGTAATCAAGAGAGTTCGAGCTTTTCTAAATGAAGTGTGATCTTCATTTGTAGTTTCTAGTCACTGAGATTGTGGGTGTAGTTTCTAGTCATTGGGATTGTAGATGTAGATATCACTATAATGATTGGAAGTGAAATGATAATTTCTCATATCTAGGAGGTTCCTAGGTAGAAGTTGCACTGGGTAGTAATTAAGTTATAAGTTGTAAATTGAGAATATTTAGGCTTAAAATTAATACTACTAATAATGGATTTCCTTCTGGCTTGGTAGCCCCTAGAGTAGGTGAGTTGCATTGAATTGGGTTATCAATTCCTTGTGTTTTTTTACCTTCTGCATTTAAATTCTGCATAGTTTTTATTTTTGGTTAAAGTTCTATTAATGTGCAGATGTCGTAAAATTTGTCGTGCCATTGTGCTTATGTGTTGAGACATGAGTCTTAACTCCTGATATTGTGTGTGCTAGAATTTCATTTGGCATCAGAGCATACACCCTGTTCTATCTATTGGGTGAGCTCCAGAAAAATATTTTTCTGGTACTATGGACAACAATGGTGAATGTTGCGACAGACCACCTATGTTGAATGATGGAAATTATGTCTTTTGGAAGGTTAGGATGATATCCTTTTTAAAAGAAATTGACAGAAAGCCTTCGAAGGTTATAATGAAAGGATGGAATCACCCTGTCGTGAAGTACAATGATGGGAATGAGTGTTTGAAGTCAAATGAGGACTGATCCAAAGAAGAAAATGAGTTAGCTTCTGCAAACTCCAAATTCTTGAATGATCTACTTTATGGAGTAGACAAGTATGATCTCAAGAAGATAGCTACCTAAAGTATTGGTAAAGATGCCTTGAAAACTCTCAGGATAACCTATGAAGGTAATGAATCTTCAGAGGAAGAGTCTGCAAAATCTGTAACTGCCTTAACATGAAGGTGCAATTCTATGGAAGAAGAAAGTTCTTATGCATAACTATTAGTGTCATACAAAGATCAGTACGAAAAGGTTGAGAATGTTTGTCAAATAGGAGTAAAGCAAAGAATAATAATAGCCAAACTTCAGACTGAAAAATGAAGAATACCTAGCTCACATTGCTGAGCTACAAAGAGAGGTAACCCTGCTAACATTAAAACTTGATAATTTAATAAAAATGTCAAGATGTTAAACAATGGATCTGATGTGTTGGATGAAATCCTTCAAGAAGTAGAAGAAGGCAGAAGATGTACTGGCATAGGGTTTGAATATCAATTCTTGAAAAATAAGAAAGAAGCTCCAGAGACAAAGTTTGTCCCAGCTAAAATAAAGGAAGAAAGCAAGATGTCTAATCAAATGTCACAACATCCTGTCAGACAATAGGAAGCTCGTACAAAAGTCAAGATTCAACCGTTGGTATGTCATTTTTATGCAGATATGGTCACACAGAGCAAGTTTGCAACAAGTTTTGTGGAAATCACAAACATCCAGCTCTACCTAGCACAAGTGCTTCTATTTCCAGAATTAGGAAGGAATGGAAAGTGAAAGATGTTGTCAAAAATATCATTGCTCATACTTCTCTTAAAGTCTCATCTAGTGAAGACTAGTATTTTGACAGTGGATGCTCTAGGCATATGACATGTGTGGAAAACCTATTGGTAGATGTTAAACCTCATACAACTAGTTATGTCACATTTAGAGATGAGGCCAAGGGGGTGATTAAAGGTATTGGAAGACTATCTTGTGAAGGATCTCCTAAACTTGATAGAGTTCTGTTTGTAAAAGGAATAACTGCCAACCTAATCAGCATTAGTTAGCTATGTAATCAAGGTCTTAGGGTTCACTTCGCAGAATTTGAATGTGTGTTCACTAACAAGAATAATAAAGTGCTAAAGAAAGGAGATATATCTAAGGATAATGGCTAATTGTGGATACCCCAAGGAGTCAATTATGCTTCCACATGTATGTTGTCCAAGGAAGGCGAGGTCAATATGTGGCATCAAAAACTTAGTCATTTACATCTGAGAGGTATGAAGAAGATTGTTTACAAGGAAGGAATCATAGACGTCCCCAGTCTCAAAATTTAAGAAGGAAAAGTCTGTGGAGATTGCCAAATTAGGAAACAAACCAAGATGTCACACCCAAAACTTCTACATCTGACTACTTCAAAACCTTTGGAACTCCTTCATATGGATTTGATGGGACCTATGCATGTTGAAAGTCTTGGAGGAAAAAGGCATTCTTATGTTGTTGTTGATATATTTTTCTAGATTCACTAGGATGAATTTTATCAAAGAAAAATCATAAGTCTTTGATATTTTCAAAGAATTGTGTCAAAAACTTCAAAGAGAGAAGAAAAGCAACATTGTAAGGATCATAAGTCATCATGGTAGGGAATTTGAGAACAAAAAGTATGTTGGATTTTGTACCTCTGAAGGTATTAGTCATGAATTCTCACCACCTATCACTCCTCAACAGAATGGGATCGTGGAAAGGAAAAATAGAACCTTGCAAGAATCAGCAAGAGTTATGCTTCATGCTAAAAAATTGCCATATAATTTTTGGGCATAAGTTATGAATAATGCATGATATATTCATAGTAGAGTCACTTTAAGGATTGGTACCTCAAATACTCTATATGAGTTGTGGAAAGGGAGAAAGCGTACATTCAAATACTTTCATGTGTTTGGCAGTAAATGCTATATTTTGACTGATCATGAGCAACACATAAAGATGGATTCTAAGAGAGATGAAGGGATATTTTTGGGATACTCTAAAAACAATAGAGCCTATAGAGTGTTTAACACTAGAACTCGAGTCATGATGGAGTCTATAAATGCTATAATTGATGATTCAAGCATAGAGGATGTACATGATGTTAAAGATAATGTTAGAACATCATTCTAGATAAATGATGAGTCAGAAGAGGTAGATGAAGACTACAACGATATTAAGGATACTCATGCTGAACCAGGTGAATATCAAGTCAATAAGGGTTCTTCAATCAGAATATAGAAAGATCACCCCAAAGAACTCATTATAGGAAATCCTAATCAAGGGGTCACTACTAGATCAAGGGAAGTGGTTTCCAACTCTTGTTTTGTCTCTAATATTGAACCCAAGAATGTGAATGAAGCCTTATTTGATGGATTCTAGATCAATTCTATGCAAGAAGAACTGAATCAGTTCAAGAGGAATGAAGTTTGGGATTTGGTTGCTAGGCCTAATGGAACAAATGTCATTGAAACAAAGTGGGTTTACAAGAACAAAACAGATGAAAATGGATTTTTCACCAGAAATATAGCAAGACTTGTAGAACAAGGCTACACTCAGATTGAAGGGCTAGATTTTGATGAAACCTTAGCTCCAGTAGCTAGGCTTGAATCAATCAGACTACTATTAGGAGTATCCTACTTATTGAAGTTTAAAGTGTTTCAAATGGATGTAAAGAGTGACTTTCTAAATGGGTACTTGCATGAAGAGGTTTATGTTGAACAACCCAAGGGGGTTATTGATCCTACCTATCCAGATCATATGTTCAAGCTAAAGAAGGCTCTCTATGGACTGAAGAAACCTAGGGCTTGGTATGAAAGGTTGACAAAATTTCTGGTCAACAATGAATACAAGAAAAGAGGAATAGAAAAGACCTTTTTTGTTAGAGAGAAGGATGGAAAAGTCATAGTAGCTCAAATATATGTTGATGACATAGTATTTTGAGGGATGTCATACCAGATGGTCCAACATTTTGTCAAACAAATGCAATCAGAGTTTGAAATGAGTTTGGTTGGTGAATTGGCATATTTTCTTGGACTTCAAGTCAAACAAATGGATGATTCTATCTTTATCTCTTAGAGTAAGTACGCCAATAATATAATCAAGAAGTTTGTAATGGAAAATGCAAGTCACAAAAGGACACCTGCTCCTACCCATGTGAAACTGTCAAAAGACAAAAAGGTGTTGTTGTTGATCAAAGCTTATACAAAAGCATGATTGGTAGCTTGATGTACCTTACAGCTAATAGACCTAATATCACATTCACTATTGGGGTTTATGCAAGATATCAAGTTGAGCCAAAAACTAGTTACCTCAATCAAGTGAAGAAGATTTTTAAGTACATTAATGGTACAAGTGACTATGGCATGTTGTACTATGATGGATCTAATTCCATGCTGACAGGGTACTGTGATGCAGATTGGGCAGGAAGTGCTGATGACAGAAAAGTACTTCGGGTGGTTGTTTCTCTTTAGGAACTAACATGATTTCTTAGTTTAGTAAGAAACATAAATGTGTTTCGTAATCTACAGCTAAAGTTGAGTATATTGCAGATGGGAGTAGTTGCTCACAACTGATGTGGATGAAAGAAATGTTGAAGGAATATAATGTCAGTCAAGATGTTATGACATTATACTATGACAATCTTAGTGCCACCAATATTTCAAAAATCCTATTCAGTATTGCCAGACTAAGCAAAT